CTTCTTTGTGTCTAGTTTAATTGAACTGTGGGGTTATCCCAAAATGTTAAGAATACAATTCTGTTTCCAAAAGCTTTCAATTAAACTAGCTTAGCTACAGAAAGTAAGTAGAATTAGACATTTCTTTCCTCTGCTGGCACTTGGACTTGATTTTTTTTTCTGTAATTTTTGTTATTAAGCAGCCAAGAGAATTACTTTTTTGTTTTAAAGCTTGACCACTCATTGAAAGCAGACAAAATAAGGATACAACAAAACTGAAGACTAAGGGTGAAGGTTAAATCCTCTAAACCACACTGCTCACGTTAGGTTCTACCTGCAGTGTGACCATGAAGCAAGAGCAATCCTTGTGCTAAGCCTTTCAAAAGGCACGCTGTCCACACCCATCGCTCATCCGCTGCCAAGATCTTTGCTGTATGCACTCAAGAGGTAGTGAACAGTTTGAGTATTGTTCTGTGAGGGGGAAACTATGTGGATAAAATAGATGTTTCTGATGTGCATGATGATAACTAATTTCTTTTGGCAAATTTCAACTATGGTATTTAAAAGCAAGCCAGTAGCATTCTAAACATACTGAACACTTCCCTAAACAAACTGTGAAGGATCCAGGTTGAAGACTTGTTTTTCAGCAACAAGGACAGAGGACATAGCTGTGCCAGGCATCTTGAGCAACTGGAGAGCCTCAGACTGTCCTGTCCATAGCTGTGCCAGGCATCTTGAGCAACTGGAGAGCCTCAGACTGTCCTGTCCACCCTCCTGACATTCCATGGCCTTAGCGCATCAGAAATACCTGAATCTGATTCTCTTTCGTGTCCTGAGCATATGACCTTCCAAAGAACAGTTTTCCATGGGGACCTAGAAGTCCTGCTGTGTTGAAATGGGGAAAAATCAGAAAATTAGTCATAATCCTGGGAAAATGTGCTCATGCTTACAAAGGGATCTTGGATCAAAGGATGGGAGTTGGCAGCTTCTGAAGGTCTAGAAGATAAATGGCAGAGGTCCCCAAACAGCTTAGCTTAGAAAAAACCTCCTGCCATATGTGAGTGCGTCATCTTTGGAAACGGCTAATTGTGGTTTAAGAGTGAGCAGGAAGTCTGCCTGCGTGGTTTCGGTGGAAGCTGATGCCTGCTTCAGGGAGTTCATGTAGAAGTGAACTACTGCTCTTTTTGCAAGCAGGGCTGGCCATGCAGCGAGGGGGACTAATGCTGAAGCATCACTGGGAAGGCTGCTTGATAATGAGACTTCAAGAAAAGAAAGAGCCAGGGATGGCTGTAACCTGGGAGCAATGAGTACTTTTTTCCTTGTTCATAGCATTCCCTGAGAGGGTGTGTGGCTATTGACTTTGTGGCCACAGAGGACAGTTTATTTTGGTTTTAGCCATATTTAGTAGGTGTTTTTCAAAGTGCAGATTAAAAAGAAAGCAAAAAAAATACCTCTATTGACTGACATACTCTTAACAGAGAAGAATCTTCTTTCCCCTCCATACTGTATTTATGGGAACTGGAACTGCTAGCTATGCTAAATATTATCTGTGAAAACATCTGTTTAAACTTAATCCTCCCATAACCCTTCAGCCTAGGCTGTGGCATGTGAAATGGGTCTGAAACGTCCTCACTCCGTATACTCGTGCTACTGTTGGCTTCTGCCTCATTGTTTCTAGGATCCATTAAAGAAACCAGCCTATTCCTTAATGCTATGTGTAAACAGGGAGTCGCTTTGATTCACTTGAACCCGTGAATTGTTAAGCTGTCTCCCTGAGAGTGAGTCTCTGACAAATGTGTGTGCTCTACAGTGCACTCCAGTTAATTCTGGAGGTGGAGGCCTGAAGAGTTGTTATGAAAGCTGCTTCCCCCTGAGGTGGAGGTATAAGGAATGTGCTAAAACAACAGTCAACTTTCAGAGAACTGAATGTCTGTCTAAATAGCTTCCCAACCACCAGCTCCCCTCTGGGAAGAAATGATACCTTCTTATCTAGCCAGAACCTCTTTCATCTCTAATTTTGCCAAGGAAAAGTCAAGGCTGGGAACAAGTTTTGTAACTTGGCTGAAGCCCGAGGGAGGATCCTTGCAGGCGGTACCTGTGCCCGTTGTCTCCTAACAATTCTGACGGGTTTATCGATGATATCTTCCACTAAATGGTTTTGCTGCTTTTGTGTCTCCTTCAAATCCCACACTGAACTAAATCAGCTTAGTGGGATGTTATTGTAGGCATAGCAGCAGCAATTTACAGTATTCCTTGTGAGGCAGCCCTGTGCCTCTGACAGACAGGATCCCTGATAACCTGGGACTCAAGTGACTTAGTAGCTGAAAAAAGATGAGGAAGCCATGCCCAACTTTAGCAAAAAGGAGAGAAACAGCACTGTGCTCTGGAGCAATCTATTAGTAAATCGAGACTAAGCAATAATTGATTCCCCCAGAAGATATTGTTGTTTTAGGTATCTGTAACTTGGTGGCTGTCCAGAGACCAGAATTGGACTGCTGGCTTCCACATGCAATCTCTGGGAGAGGAACACGCCTCTGGGGCTAGGTAGCACACCTCAGGCGGCTCAGCAAATTGTGATAATTGCATGCCCTCTTCCCTTCCTCTCCTCCTGGCTGCTGCTATGTCACTCGAAAAGCACTGTTCCAAGGACAGGGAAGATGACCTTTAAAAGGTAGCTTGGCAAGACCTGCAGAGTTTGTTGTGCTAATGAGGCTTTATTAAATTGGAATGGAGAGGACAGACCTGTCTTGATCTAATCAGAAGGGTCATTTGCTGAAGATTGTGCATTGATTTGTCAAGAGCTGTAATTCAGTGCAGCAGTGACTCTTAGAAGAAATCAGCCAGCTGTTGACCTGGAGTATAGGCCAGATGCTCGCCTCTTCCAATTGAATATGGACTTAAAATCCGTGTGGGAGATCTGACTTGAGAGGAGTGGGCAGATGTACAGACTAGCTGGCTTGGCTTTTTTCACAAAGGAGTATTTTTTCATTCCATGGTCTAATTGTTGCTGAAGGAATTCTAGCCAGGTGAGTGGCAGCATCCTTATTCCTTTCTGCATGGTAGCAGTTTGGCGAGCAAAGCATTGACTCCTTGTCTATGGAAGACAGGAGAAATCTATAGGCTGTGCTACAGGCGTAGAGTGGGATAGTTTCATTTCTCTCCCTCCCCCTCCAAACAAAGCAAGAAACAAAAGCGGCAGACACAGAGTTTATTGTAGCATCACCTTCAGACTTGCCACATGGCAGTTTAAATGTCATCTTGAAATGACATTTCAAGGCGGAGATATATGCAGACAAATAATTCTTCTTTGGTAGAGGCTAATTGACTTGAAAGATCCAAATTGTAATGATAACCCTTTTGTGAAGTAAATATGAGCAAAGTAGTAACATGAAACTAAGGAAACTCTCTTTCACTAGGATGACTTCCAGGTTTAATGGCAAATCTACATATTCCCTCCCATAATGCAGCTTCTTTTTTTGCCTGAGTAGGTGGAAGTGTGAGTTGTGGCTGTTCAAGTCATGTGTTTCTCTGGTCAGTGCTGGCATGTCGACTTCATCTCAGAAGTACTTAAGGATCCGATAGTCATACTGCCTTCCCTAGTAGTAGGAGCACCAAGCCAGGTCTCTCATCTGTTCTCACAGGGTCTGAAAGAGTACAATACCTTCCTTTGCACCTCTCATATTTATTTGGATTTATCCAGCAGTTTTGAATTTCAATGGGAAACTTTGCAAAAAATTCCTCCTTCAGTACAAATATCCGTTTAACTGAAGAAGCTGTGGCTGAATAGGATTTCCCTCAAAATTAAAAGTATTCCTGTGGTCAAGAGTAAAGAAACATTAATTTCTGCAATATGTTTTTTATTTTTCCCTCAGAGCTTTAGATGTTTGTGTAAGGAATAGTATGATAGAAGTGTTGCAATGTGTCTCCATGCGGTTTGTGTTTTGTTTGTTTTATTTTGATTGGAGTTTTTGTTGTTGTTTCTGGGTGGTTTTTTGTTTGTTTGTGTGTTCATTTTTTTTTTACTCCATCACCCAGTTGTCTTTATCCCAGTTTTCTCCTTCCTCCTTTATAAAACTAATACACACAGATTTTTAGTCCCAACTCCTTCACGAGTATTGGAGTCACACATGACTTTGTTATTCATCCAGGTCTAAATTTACTATTGGAGATCTTGTAGGCTAAAACCATACTGGGTTGGTGAGACGTATTCTGCTGGGTCTTTTTCCTTCATTAAAAATAGAGGTTCAACTTTGTACTTTCTTGATTTCCCAACTGTGCTTTCTGTGTTTGTGTGTCTGTTTTTGCCATGACAGTGCCTGATAGGCTATAGCTGAATCCCTCAGTCCTCAGGTATGAGCAGTGTCACATCCTGCAATTTTAATTGCTGTGCGTTGTACTGTCAGAACATTATACCTGAGGTTTGCAAGCTGTTCTACATTCCTTCTCGTAAGTGCGAGTTTGCCTGCCTGCCGGCTGGCTGTCAGATTTGCTGTGCCTCTCCAGGTGGCTGAATAAGCATTTGATTTATTTATCCTAGCTGTCTAGTACAGTCTGCTGTGTCTTGGAGACCTTCTGAAAGGTGGTGGGGGTGTAGGAAGGCTGGCTCTCTTGAAGTTATTTTGAAACAAATTCTCCAGATGCTATATCCTCCAGGGTTGTCTTGAAAGGAAAAGTTGAAATTAATTGTAGGCTAGGCAGTCTTCACACCTGAAATATTAGAGAGACCAGAACTTTTTACTCACCCTCTATAATGCAGCTCCTTTTAGTATTTCTTTTGTAGAAGACTGCCTTTTCTGCTCATGTTACCTTGTGAATACTTGGTAAGATTCCTAAATGCTAGAACATGCAAAAGGTTGCTCTTGTTTGTTTCTGAATTCCCCCTTTTCCTCTCCCCAGATGTTGTAGATGTTTGGCTCTATGCTTACTGTTTCTTTCTTTGTCTTTGTTTTTGTAGACCAAGGTGCTCCTGTTCAACCAGATCTTTCGGGAATTTTTTAAAAAGAAACTTTGGTGGGTAAAAGATGTGCCATGGAATGGTAGCACCAAAGAGCAACACAGGATCGTCTCTTGCCTTGACTAGCCATGGGTTATTTCTTCTGCTAGTCATCTTTGGTACCTTTATCTTGGAAGCACAGGCCACAGGTAAGTAAAACCTTTGCATATGCCGCAGGGAGAGGGAGATGTATAAGTATGGAGGTGGCCTTATATTTTATGGGGAAGCTGGTGATGGTTGATGCATTTGTACACATCTTTTAGTACTCACAGGAAAAATTCTATTGCTACTTGTTAGGCAGAGGGCAGAGTCTGAACTGAATGAGTCTTGCATATTAGTAAATTAGTAGATAAGTGCTTGTCCTTTACCCTGTCATTTTGATTCTCTCAGATTTTTTTTTTCCCCTCCATTCTCATCCCTTCACTGCAGCTGAGGGCACTTGGACTGTCTCAAGAGCATGAACCGCATTTTTGTTCAGTGAAATTCTCATGTAGATGCTTTTATCTATATTACCTGTAGCAATTGCTCATGTGAAGTAGTTTTGGAAGCACAGGCTGTTTCCAGCTCTTTGCATAGCTGATGAATCCATTCAGTGTTTCTTTGTGTGCTATCTTCTGACACCTCAACACTTGGTAACTGCACCCCTCTGTTAGGTTCTTTTTGCAGCTCGAGTTTTTCCCTCTCATCTTTCTAACTTCTTGATGTTTATCCAATGGACAAGTGTTGTGAATAATGTAAATAGCAGTGCAGTGGAATGATATGTAAATGTCAGCAGAGATGTGAGGATCTGCCTTTTAGAAATTAGTGGAAGAAGAAAATATACCAGATACTCACAAGATAGAACATGATGTGAAGTGTGTGCTTGTTTTCCAATATGCCCTGAAATGTCTTTTCTCTCAGTTCAGCCGTGATTTAGTTTTTCTCTGTAGAGAGATGCCTGATCATAAGTGGCATGGGATGGAAGGAATAACTTTGTGTGCTCGTGCACAGAACTTTGAAGGAGGTTAGTCCTAAAAAGGCACATAGATTTGACTTCAGTAGCTGTTGCGATTTAGAACAATAGCTTGCCTTTGAAAACAAAACCTCAGTTCTCAATATGACTCTAAGAACTCCTATTTATTTGACATACCATGGCACGTGAAAATGTCCCATGATGTAACACTCCTCAGCATCGGTGAAGTTTGAACTGGCCTCTGTGTGGTGGAGCAGAATAAATGTTAGTTGCCAGATGTACTCAAAGCCAAGGTGATCCTGTATGGAAAAGCCTGCTGATGCTGGAAACTGCCAGAGGAGGAGTTGATCTCCTTTTGGTATTTCTGGCTCTTCAAGTTGAAAGGGAGAGGCTGCTGAAATCAGGTATCCCAGACTTGGATATCTTCCTGGCCTGATTTTGGGTTTGTGGATAATGAAGGGTAGGGGCACACATATGAGAAAGTGACAAATTGGCAAGAACAGATAGAGTGGGAAAGGGACAAGGTCTTTTTGGATCTGTTCTATCCTTGTTTTTTCCTATCTTGTTATTATTGATGATAATTTCACTGCCTCATTTCAAATGTAGGCCTGTCAGATATGCTTCCCAGCCTGGGGCTGGAGTGCACCATCCCCATCTGAAACTCCCATTACAGACTGCAGCACTTTCAATTGAGAGTCTGTAATCAGTATGCAAATGCCTTGCACTGCACGGGGCTGCTGAATGGGGAAAGAAGCCACAATCCTGGCAAGCCCATTTAGTATCAGTTTTGAGGCATCCAGTTGCATTAACAAAAGCACTAGTTAAGCCTGTCAGAAGACCGGAGAGTGGTTCTGCATTGCTTCCCTTTCTGTGTTCCTTTTGCTTCAGGACCTGAAACCAACTGTGGTAAACTGATCAAGGCAGATGATCAGCTAAATAGGATTATAGTAGCCAGGCATGAACCGTTTCCTGCAGGGGAACGGAGAAAGTGAGTGCATGTGGAGGGGAGCCCAGGATCTTAGCAGAGGGCAAGACATGCCAGGGAAAAAATCCTGGGGGAGAGGAAGGGCTCGCTGAGGAGTGCTTCCACGTACGGGTTTTCTGAGACTAGGAGGTAGCTATCCAACTGCTAATTGCTGGGAGGGATGGAGGTGCTCAGTGATGTGTCATGGTCCCGGAGAGCCGCACCTGCAGCAGCACGCCAGCTGTGAGTAACATTAATGAGCAGGTCAGCTGGGGAGCGGAGAGCCAGATGGAGAAACAAAGAACACTGACGAGGTGTTTGGAAAATCATCTTTCCATCATCTTTGTCCCCCAGCCACCCCACCATCCTCACTTTATTACTTTACATAGCAAAATCATTCAGAGCAGGCAGAGAAAAGCGATCTTAATATGAATTAAGAGATTGTATTAAATCTCTTGGTGGTAATGCTTATCTTGAATGCGGGGCCAATGTGACATGCTCACAATTGCTACAAAAGCTGAAGAATGTTCTCATAAAAAGACAGACAAGCATGGAGACAATGACTGGCTCAGGTCTGAGTGAGAAAGCGCTTGTGATTTATGTGTTTAAAACCATACAATATGTGTTGTATTGCTGTAATTTTGCTGTTTAGAAATTCTATCACTTGAGTTCCAGGAGGCTTAGACATATATTCATGTTCTGGGCAGGAATGTGTTTTCTTTGCCACGTGTTTAATGCAGAGGGCAGACCCATTTCCAGTCAGCAAGCATCTGGTCTGTCTTCTGGTAATAAATTGATTTTATTTAGGCATGGATTTTTAAGAAAAATCTTCAGCATTTTGTCTCAAGCAATCTGTCCAAATATCTTGGAGCGCCATGAGATGAGTATGATAAGTTGCTTAGTCACTAAGCACACTGCAGAATTTGGGGAAACTGTTCCCTTTTCACAGGAAGATACCCGTAAATATAAAAATAACCACTGCACGTATTTTAACACAAAATAAATGTGGCATTTGGAGTTCAACAAGCAATGAAGCTGTGTCAGAAGAGGAGGATTTATGAAAACTTCAGTGCTGTTCAGAAATATTTTTGGAGCTGTATTACTGTTGTGCCTTTCTTCTGTATCTGGCAAGTTCTCCAAGATTAGTTGGGAGAAATAATGAAGGAATGAGCAGGTGAGGAGACTTGGAATGCAAGGACCTGAAATGCTGAGGCTTAATTCTTGATCTGTCTCTTCTGTTTTCTTTGAGGTTTCATCTGGAATGTAGCTAAGAGCCAGGGGACTTAGTAGATAGAGATGGGGAATTTTTGAAGTGTTGGACAGGAGCAGTAACAATGGTTTTGTCTGCTTTTCTAAGATAACGCTTCTCCATTCTTTCTTTGTTGTTATGTTGTTTTTTTAGTATTGTTTCCCCCTGCTTCCCCCACCGTCTTTGACCCTTAAGGTTATTCCCAAGCTCTCAAAGGCCTTGTGTTTATCTCTCATTCACAGTGGTCCTCCTGCTTGGCCAGGCTATTTTTGGAACAATGACAGTGGATCAGAATAAGTTGTTCATTGAATTTTAACATGTAGTCTCTAAAATAACTCTGAAAGCTTCCTATCATTTGTGTTCCAAATGGCGTAGTCTCTCTTGGATTCATAAGCTCTGTCAGGAACCTATCAAAACATAGGCTGCGCCTTTCATTGTTGATAATAGCATCACCTGGTCCTGGGAGATGCAAGTAAAGGTGTTGGTAAACGTATTAAACATCCTGAATTAAGCAAATATCAATACCCATAAAGGAGAGAGTTTAAATATTAACCTTTAAAAATTAATGATCATGCAGGCTCAGTGAATCTCAGTACATTTAGATTTAAATGCAGCCTGATTTTTGTTGACTGATCACATGTGAAATGCTATAAAGCTAGCCCTTCGATTTTTAGGATTGCCATTAAAGTGATAAATTGGGCTTAAATAAACTGAAACGACTTCATTCCTGTGTGTTATCTCTGACGCAAATGCAGCCAATCTGCTGCTTGCTGTTATAAGGTCTTTTCAGTGCCAAGGTTATTCTGCACAGAAGCTCTTGGATACCACTGGTATTTGTTTGCTTTGCATAGAACAGCTTGTTAGAGCACACTCCAGTCATTGAGCAGATTCAGACTTGTTCCTATTCTTTGGGAATCTGTGCAAAGCAGAGTTTTCCTTTGTCTCTAATTATGCTGCTGAAAGGAAGGCGATTATACAGCTAGAGATGAATTAAATGGTCATGAAAACAAGGACTCTATAGCATTGGATAGCCAGACAGAAATGTGGGGAGGTGTGGTGCAAGGACGGAGGATCTTGATTCTAACCTCCATGCTTCATGTAAGTGTGGGTTTGGAGAAATTACAGGGTCAGGCCAAAGAAGTGTGTAGCTCTCCGTGGAGATAAGGGGGGAGAATTGCAGTTTCAGGTGCAATTCCTCTTTGCAGTTGCTTTGGAGAGCTTAGTAAGAGCAGAGTGGTATGGAAGAGCACGGTGAGGAGCTGCAGAATAACGCCAGGCTGCAAAGGTGGCTGGGAAGCAAAGGCAGATGGGCTGAGAATTAGACTATTCAAATAGTAATATTCACACTGTTACTACACTGATCGAGGCAGTGCTATTTAAGCAGCTGGCTTGAAGAGAGTAACAGGGATAAGAAGCTACACAACTTGTTTAGTTTTAACCGCTTCTCATGGTTGAAGGATGAATTAAAGCAAGCATAATAGCAATCCCGAATTTTCCTTTTGTCTGTCCTAGGTTTGCTCAGCAAATCCAAAGAACCTGCATGTGGGTAGACTTATATTCACTGCTGTACTGTGAGAAATGTGAGATGTTTTACTGGTTAATATAAGTGGCTGTGAACTACGATTCCTGTTATACTTTTGTTGTGTTGGGTAGGCTGAGATTCATCTCTATGCCCTGTTTCCATTTTTGTCCGTTGTATTTGGGAAAGATAACTGCCCTCAGTTTGAGGGAGAGAGATCAACTTCCTGTGTTTCACTGTGCTTGAAGGGGCATCCCTGTGCCTTCTATAGCATTTAGCTTCAAATGACTCAAGCGAAAAAGAATTGAACAAATATTTCATTAAAATGCAGAGAGAAATGCTGCTTGTGTGAGTTTTGAGAGGCTGCCAGAGAGGACTGAGAGGATGGGAAGGGCAAGCTGAGGCAAAACCCTTTTTGTTTTCCTTAATGAAGAAAGGTAAACATCTCATCACAAAGCATGACTCTGGATATATTCCATTGGATGCTCCTACTTTTCATTTCCTGCACTTGAAAAAAGTCTGTTCTCTTTCCTGTGTGCATGCTATGGATGTACGTAACTTTGACAAGAATCCGTATCTGTTCTAAATATACAAAATTTTCTGTAAATCTTTGTTGAACTCTGAAATTTGATCTGCTTAGTCTGAACTTTCCTCTCTCCTCCAAAAAAATGGAATACAGGAACAGAGTCTGAGAGGAATGGATTCATAATGAAATATTTAAAGGTGGGAGACAGGAATTTTACCACCTACCAAATTTTGATCTTCAGAGAGGGGGAGATGGGAGAAGAGGTGATGGAATCCTCTGAATCCTGGATTTTTATCCAATGCTTGAATTTTATGCCTGGCAAGGCTGGTATCACACACACCTAGTATTAAGGGACCTTCAATTCTTGGCCATGGTTGCTAGCAGGAAATTAAGCTGCTTTAGGAAATAACTCAAGAATTGTCTGATCCAACTCACCTTAGCTTCTTGGGCTAGAATGAGGAAGATGGAAACTGGTAGGAGCCTCATTGTAGAGGGAAGCAAGAGGGGCACGAATGGTGTGATATATTCTTCAAGAGAAAGTATTTGTGAACTTCAATCCAGATTCTGACTCATCACCGTCTTGGTGTCCCTTGATGACTGCTGCCCGCTAGGTTGAAGATACAGACATGTCTATCTTCTGATGCAGCTTCCTTCTATCACTGAGTCCTTCCTCTTTATCTACTTGAGCCAATCTCTTGGGAAGAGTTTGGGTTTGTTCCTCGTCTCATGGGAAAAGATAGCAGAATGGAAAAAAATTTACTTGCTGTCACCTTGTGCTACCTGATAATTCCTCTGCTGCTTCTGTCCCTTTTGAGTCCTAAACTGGTTACTGTTGCAGTTGAGGCATTATGTTTTTAGGATATGTTGAGTGTTTTTCATCTGTGCAACCCATGTCTGCCACTGCTTCTTCAGCCCTTATGTTTAACTGTAGCAGCACAAGCAGTTACCAGCTCCCTGTTTGTGCTGCCAGCCATTACTGACTCTACAGTGGGGATGGCAGGACAAGTAGTAAATTTGCTCTGAAACTGTGGCAAACTTTAGTCTGGGCTGCTACTGCAAATACTGCTGGAATAGCTGGTATGTGGTATGTACAGCTGTGGAGTAGATACATCTTCAGCGTGCTTACATGGGTGATAGGGAAAAAGGTGGTAGGGCAAGGTGGGTAGCTGTGGACTATTGAGTCGTCAGGTTTCGTGGCTGAATCTGTCAAGGCCCTGTGTTAGACCCAGCAATCTGTGTCTAGATGAGGATTGCTAAAACACTGCTGGTAACGAGCTCCTGGTAGTCAAGAGTGAAGGTACAGTGCTGAAGGCACTAGAACAGCAAGCTCAAAAATGCTTGTTACCCTCGTGAGAGTAACTGGAAGCCAGTGACAGAATGGTGGTATTGTCTCAAGAAATATCTGCTTATCTGTGTGCACTGATCTACATCTAAAAAACCCAAAAATTTCCTTTTAATGAACAAAACTTCTGGGGAGTGTTCATCTTCCTCTGCAAGCAGGAATTCCCCTGAGGAGACTCTCCTGCAAAATATTCTGTTGGAGGACTGGGAAATTACTTGCTTCCGGGTGTCCTGGAAGGGATTTGAAGTAACCCCGTAGGTATGGGACTACTTAGATGAGTTATAGGATGCATTAGGTGGATTGGGCTAGAGGGGGCTTTTTGCTGAACTGTTGATGAATCAAATGAGCTTTTTGGCCCAGCCTAGTATAGTGATCCTTTCTTTACAGAAGGGAGAGGGGAACTTTTGGAATTCCTGTGCTGAAAAGACTGCCTAATCTCAAGAGGTTGTGGGGATGCTCCCTCACTGCTTGTGTACCTTGGCCTGCTGGTGCTGGATGGAGATGCTTCCTGTGTCCCTTCTCAATAGGGCCATTGCTGTGAATGCAAGGATAAGTTCATTTATCCACTTGGCATGGTAAGAAGCGTTTAAAGGGAAGCAGAAGCCAAAGAATTGAACAGTAGGGTAACAAAAGAGCATCTTTAAATCCTGCCTCAGCATTTTAGATCTAGACAGTCATCTTAATTCAATGGGGAAAGTCTTTCTTGTTTGAGAGCAGAAGAAACATTGCTGCTGCTTTTGAGATATATCTTTTACATTGTCAGTAAATGGAGAAGCATGTCTGATTTGAAAAATGTTGCCTTACTGTAGAGTGAGATAAACACCTCTGGTGGACATTGTCCTGAGTTTTCAATCCACAGACGGGAGAAACATGGTAGGCCTGACACATGGAGAGTCATAACTAAAAGTCAGAGGTTGCTGCTGCTTTTCTGGCTTGAAGGAACATTTTCTGTGTCCTGAGAAAAAGACCAACATGGTGTATAGCAAGTTTCGTGTCAGACGTACGCTTAGGCACCTATAAAACTATCCATTATAAAGAAAATAAAACTGGTTATGATTTTACTAATTTTGTTGCTTAGGCAGGTTTGCATTTTCTTCTTTTTCAGCAGAGATGTTAGCTGCTGAGACAAGAAGTGAAGCATTTCTAGTTTAGGTAGCTCAATTTCCTTCAAAATATTCTAGTTCTATCTGGAGCCTCTCCAGATGTAGAAAAGGACCAGAAGCAAATGGAGATTTGTAGGAAGGTGGTAGAATAGATTGAAGGTGAATGAGGACCAGGAGTGAATAAGATTATAGGAAGGAGAATAGGGGGACAGAGGAATGCAGCAAAAGAGGAAGGTGGAGGTTTCCACAGGTGGAATTGTAGAATAATTTAGGTTGGAACAGACTTTTAAAGGTCATCTAGTCCAAGCCCCCTGCAGTGAGCAAAGACACCTTCCACTAGATCAGGTTGCTCAAAGCCTTATCCAACCTGGCCTTCAATGCTTCTAGGGATGAGGCAGCCACAGGTTCTCTGGGCAACCTGCTCCAGTGCCTCACCACCCTCACTGTAAAAAAATTTCTTCCTTGTATCTAATCCAACTCTACCCTCTTTCAGCTTAAAGCTATCACGTTTCAGTTTAATGTCCTGTCATGACATGCCCTGTAAGAGTCCCTCTCCAGCTTTCTTGTAGGGCCCCTTTAGGTACTGGAAGGTTGCTAGAAGGTCTCCTCTTCTGAAGAGCCTTCTCTTCTCCAGGCTGAACAGCCCCAACTCTCTCAGCCTTTCTTCAACAGGAGAGGTGCTCCAGCCCTCTCATCATCTTCGTGGTCCTCCTCTTGGTCCACTCCAATGGGTCGATGTCTTTTGTGTGCTGAGGACCCCATAGGTCTCACAAGCACAGAGTAGAGGGGCAGAATCACCTCCCTCGACCTGCTGGCCATGCTGCTTTTGGTGCAGCCCAAGATACGGTTGGCTTTCTGGGCTGTGAGTGCACGTTGCCGGCTCATGTCCAGCTGTTCATCCACCAGAACCCTCAGGGCTGTTCTCAATCCCTTCATCCCCCAGTCTGTATTGATACTGAGGATTTCCCTGACCCAGGTGCGGGAGTTGTGAAAAAGATCCTGGTGGTTTAAAAAGCCAATTAGCAGCTTGGTGATTAAGTGGAAGTCCTGAAAGAAGGTAGTGCTTTTGTTATGCAAACAGATTAGAATGGTTGAGAATAGTGTAATAGTATGGCCTTGGGAGGGAGGGCTCTAGTAGAAAAAAAACCCAAAACATATGTATGTGTTTATTTTTTTTAGTGATTAGGTAAGAGTGTCTTAATACAGGAAGATGCAGGATATGCCTTTACAATGTCAGGCTTTTGAGGCTTTTCTATATGCAACAGGACTGACTAATGAGACACCGACAGAGGTTAAGAACTTGAGGGTTACAAAGTGTGTATGCCCTCCAGGGACTGAAGCTTCAAGGCAGGAATCTCCTTAAGGCAAGGGCGGAGCAGGGTGAAGATGCCAATTACTGGGGCACTGGCCGAGGCTGCCTATAAGTGCTCTAACATCTGGAGATCTGCAAAAGACCATATAGCAACTGTGTGTGAAACAAGACATAAGGAAGAATTTCAAGTGGAAGTTTCTGCTATGTTCAGAGAAATAGCCGTGGCATTCTCAGAACGTTCTGCTTTTCTTAGTTTGTGTTCAGTTTCTCCCCCATCCTGTGTGTGTTTGGCTGCTACACCCATTGTAGAGGAACTCTTCCTGTAAACAAGATAAACCTATTAAAGCTGCTAGACCCTGGATCCTTGTCAACACCAAGGTATCACGCCCTGCAGATGGTGATGCTTTCCAGGTGGGGTCTGTGTGTGACTATATGTGTGGAATGAAGTTGTATCAGAGTGCATTAGGGACTTCTGGTGTTGCCTCTTTTCTGGACCACCAGCATCCTAGAGATTTAACTCCAGGAGACTTACCTGATGCTGCAGAGCCTTTAGGTATGTCATACAAAACACACAGCTGTTGATTTATCCCTGGCTGGGAGGGGAGAAGTGTGGGTTTTTAACATTGTTTCTTCTGGCCTGTACCAGTCTTACCTTCATAGCAGCAACTTTGAAACTTAGAGTCCTGGGGATGCACCTGCTGTGTAATCTGCGTCCGGTAGTTCAAGTTTTAGGCCTGCTG